ATTAATAAAATAGAGTTTTAAGCTATAAAATTTATATGTAGTAAATGTTTATAAAAACTAATAAATTTAGTTTAATTTGAAATAATTCAAAACATTTCAAAATATTCTAGTAAATTTTATTATAAAAAATTTTAGTTTATTATGTTTTTTTATTTAGAATTTTGTAGAACTGTTAAAAAGCTTATTAGAGTTGGTTCTTGAGTTGACTTAGTAAGAACTTTTTAAACTCAATTTAAACCTACTCTTGAGCAAAGTTCTAATCAGCATATGATTAATGAAACCATTATATTAATAGTTTTTTTAAATATTATTACATGATAATGGTTTTTGTAGATGTTATCACGTGATAACGGTTTTGTTTTTTTTAAAAATATTTTTACATGATAACAGTTTTGTGGATATTATCACATGATAACGGTTTTCATGTAACAGTTTTAAATAGAAATATTATTATAGAAAATAGTTTTTATTTACCAGTTTTCAGAAACGTTATTATAGATAATAGCTTGTATCTAACAGTTTTTTAGAAATATTACTGTATCATCTGATACGTAGCAGTTTTTATATAATAGTTTCAAATCTGATAAACAATAAACACTATTATCTGATAATAGAACAAGTAGATGATCACATAAAATGTGACGGGCATTTAATAGTAAATTTTTCTAATAGCTAGTATGAGAAACGATTTCTTATTATAAATAACAGAAACAATAAAATACATAGCACAACTATTATATAGATTTAGCAATACTATTTAGATAGTATACAATTTAATTTTAAGTAGGAACTAAAATCTGGGTCAAGTGATGAGGAGTTCATTTTCTAACACTTTTTTCTCTTTTATAGGCTTTTATTTCATTAGAACAAGGGCTAGGGGGTGGTGTGAGAAAGGGGACAATGGGAGATCGTAGATTTGAAGTAGGCATTTGAAGATTTAGATCTGAACAAGAAATCATAACTTTAAGTAACAGTTTTTTTCTTTGCTCTAAATTTGTTTTTATTTTTATTGATTTGAACTAATAATTTCACCTTTTTGTAGATCTTTGCTAAAATGCGAAATTGGAACTTGAAAATTTAAATCTGAGGCAAGAAACCAGAACTTAGATATGTACTGGGATTCTATATTCCATTTTATTATTTTAAGATTCATTTTATTTTTTTATGCCTTTGTTTTTAGAATATGGACTAATAATTTTTTCTTTTTGTAGATCTTTTTTTGTTAGAGCTGTTAGAATGCAGTATAGCAATGACAATTTAGATCTGGACAAGAAATTATAAGTAGCAGTTTTTTTTTCTTGCTTTGAATCTGATTTTTTTTTTTTTTAAAAAAAAAAAATACATATTAACAATTTTTTTCTTTTGTAGGTTTTTGCTCGAGAAATACGAAATCAAAACTTAAAAGTTTAGATCTGGGTATCGAACTAAAATTTTGGTTAAGTACCAGGATTCTATTTTCTATTCTTTTATTTTAGATTTTCACTTTTTTTTGTTTTCAAAATATGAACTAACAATTTTTTTGTTTAAGATTTTTCTTTGTTGAAATATAAAATAGGCTTAAAGCTTTAAATCTTGGCAAGAAACCAGGACTTGAAATAAGCGATAAGTACTGATTTCAAAATAAAAACTTGAAATTGGGCGAGAAATTGGAATTTTAGATAATTACTAGTTTAGATTTATATTTTTGATAGGACAACGAAAATGATAATTACTAGTTTAGATTTATATTTTTGACGGAAGTGTGAAGATAATAATTACTGGTTTAGATATATATTTTTTGACAGGAGAACAAAGATGAAAATATGCAGGAATTATGAAATTATAAAGTAGTAATTATAACTTTACGATGTTATAATTTATAAATTTAAGATTTATGTATATAATATACAAATGTATTATTTATATCTTTATTTTAATAAAAAAAAAAAAAAATAGAAAATAAATATACTATATAATAATAAATTATTATTTTGTTACATATTTGATGCTATTTGAAAATATTTATTAATAAAAATTTTATTATGCTCTACAAAATCGTACTAATGTTTGTTCTTCCAAATGTTAATTATGACTAGTTACTACACTAATGCTTTTTATTCATATACTCAGACTCAAATCATTAGGTGTCAATTTTGTGCTCCAACTGTTCTAACAAAGTAAAAATCTACTAAAAAAATAAGATGTTAGCGCCTATATATCAAAAAGCAAACCCAAACCCTAAACCCAAAACAAGAAACTGATATTTTCACATCAAAGATTTTTTCCCAATCCAAATCTTTGGTGCTGATCCAAAGCAAATAAAATATTAGTACCTATCTCAAAAAAAAAATAAGCCTAAATGCAAAACGAAAAACTGATACATTCATTAAAGTTTTTCATTCAGATCACTTAAATCAAAACCTCCAAGTGCTCTAACCAAAGCAAAGATCTATAAGAAAAAATAAAAATTGGCGTCTCTCAAAAAAAAAAAAAGGATAAACTTCAACCCTGAAACATTATTTCAATATCAAATTTTCGCCATACTCCCAGAACATGCCAATTTTGCGTTTTGACCATTCTAATAAAGCAAAGAACTATATAAGAAAATAATACGTTAGTACCTATCACAAAAAAAAAAAAGTGACTTCAAACAAAAGACTGGAAATTGGTATTTATTGTTTATCCAGCTTCCAACCAGTTTCAAATCGTCAGTATTTATTTCACCTTTCAACTGTTCTGAAGCAAAGATAGCAAAGATCTACAAAAAAAAGAATATTAGTTCTATTTCGAAATAAACTCAGAAAAACTAGTATTTATCATTTATTCTAGTTTTTGATTTCTCACCCAGATTCGATTATTCATATTTTCTATCTCGAAGAAAAAAAAAAATTAGAACAAAGAATGGTCTAGAAAAGAAACAAAAAGATTGTACTCGAACTTGGAGCTAAAAACAAAGATTTGCATTCCATTTGATTGTTTCTACGATTTTGTAGTATTATCAACTCAATCGTTATGTTTTGTACTATAAGTCTGATAATTTTAATTTCTACTCGAATCTATACTTCTGATCTTTCAATATTTTAGTTATAATGAGATTAGTCCAATTACTAACAATGGTTGTGATTCTGAACTATAAGACTACTCAACTGTTGTTATTTGTAAAAAAAAAACAAGACTACTATAGTGATTTTAAATATTTTTGAGATCAAAATTATTAATAAGCCTGAAATATTTTAGTGCTTACAAAGTTTTAGTTTAGATATTAAAAAAAAAAAATTTGTTGAGTAAATGCAATGTTCATAACTTGATGATTATACATATCATATATACCAATCATAATGTAATATATCATTTGATTTCGTGAACATGTATATTTGTGAAAATACATTATAGTCTTATACATGTTATTTCACAGACATGCATGTCTATGAAATTATGTGCTACAAATATAAAAAAAAGATAAAAAATTCCCCTAACATATCAAAAAGATAACCACAACTCTAACTAAATTTTCTCTTCAATTTATTTCAGGATTTCTGCCTCAATCCAACTTTTTAGACACAGAGAAGCTCTGTTGATTCTTCAAGAAAACTAGCTCTTGAAGAATTAATAGTATTTTGGCTATGAAAAAAGCATATTCACAGAGAACGCTTGTAGCCTGCAGAGCAAAGTAATCTGCAGCCATCAAAGCTACAGTTGGAAATTGGTATTCATTCGTTTTTCACCAGCACAAGGGATTAATACCATGTTCTGAAGGTAATGATAAATAGGTCTCTAATTTATTAGCTACATTGATAGTTTTTTGATTTTCATTTGAATTTGCCAAGGATCGAAAATAATCTAATGAATTATGCTTAGGTTTGGTCATCTCTTTATGATAGGCAGAATAAAAAACCTTTAAAAGATCAATAGCTAATTGACGGTTTTCTTCTTTAAAAGTTTTAATTTTAGTTAAGGGTCAAGAATAGTAGGGATAATTGATGATTGTGAAAAGTGAGTCCAATAATGAGTTAGTTTATTCTCCATTTCTTGAGCTGCTTCACAAAAGATATTTATATTATTATTTTTTTTTTTATAATTATCAAGATGCTTGAAAAAACCTTGAAAAATTATTCTTAATATTCTGTGCAAAGGTATTGACGCTTTCGATAGCTCTAATGTTGCTTTATAAAATAGTTCAAGAAATTTAACCATCTCTTTGACTATTACTCAGTTATTAAATCCTAAATAGTCTTCTTGTAGGTTAGGATAAAGTCTTACAAGGTTATCGATAATGTCCCAAATTTCAATAAGTCGTTGAAATATCAGGTAGGTAGAATTTCATCTAGTTGCAACATCAAGTTTGGGACAGAGGAACGAACGGCTAAAGATAGTATAGATTTTTTTTATCTCTTCTAATAACAGAGGTGAATTTTTAACTCTTAAACAAAAACTTTGTACTTTTTTTACTTGATCAGTGTAATGTGTTTGTCCTTTATAACTGCAAGATTTAAGGGTAGGGTATTTGTTTACCATTTGTTTGCATATAGCATAAAAATAAACCAATTAAAATTTAATGATCTGCAAAATTAACTAATTATAATTGTATATTTGGTTGTACATGCATATTTATTTGCACATTGTATAAAAAAAACATATAAACAAATACCCTACCTTTAAAATATAAGTTGTACATCGGATGTATACAAAATTCAGGTTTATATTTTTTGAAGATATTGTAGACAGGTTTGATTGTTTGACGCATTATCTCTGGTAAAACTAATAACCTTTTCCTTTATTTCTAAAGATTTGACAAGTTCAAGAACTTGTTTTCCAAGATATGTGCCAGTATGAGATTCATGTAAAGGGATAATATCGAGAAGAATATCCCTTATTGACCACTCAATATCAACTCAATATATAGTGATACCGAGGAATGGTTGCTGTGTACATACCATTCAGACATCCAGTGTAAGTTCCAGTTTACTACGATTCGATTTTAATATATTTTTTATTCTTATTCTAAGAGATTCAAATTGGTCTTTAATGTTTTAGAAATAGTTTGTCGACAAGGAATTTTGTATCACGGATCAAGATTTGTAATAAATTTAATAAAGAATATTCATCGACTAATGAGAAGGGTTGTTAACTTTCAATAATTAATTGATACAGGTTATTGTTTAAAGACTCTACGCGATCTCTATCAGATTTATCAACTATTGAATATGAAGATATATGGGTAACTTTTTTTTTTTTTACTATTGAAATCTTTAAAAATATCTGGATGTTTCTTTTCGAAGTGTAGTATTATAACTGACACTGATGTAGAAAGTGCCTATTGACTAGGTTTTTTTATCTTAGGATCATCCTTACATGATTCACAAACACGAAAGCCATCTTTAATTGTTTTTAAATAATTATAAACAGGTGCCCATCATTTTGATTTTTTTGTATTTGTATTATTAATATTTGTATTGCAGAATTCATTATTTTTAAGAGGAATTTTATAAGAATTCTTATTTGAGTTATTTGAGGTTATAGATGAAGAAGTTGCCAAATTTGATGACTGAGATATGGTAAAGGTGAATGTGAATTTAAAAGAAAATGAAACTTCATATCAAAAAAAGGTAAACACAAAACAGTTTTATAGTTTATTTGAAGAACATATTAAAATATGCATATTTAATAATAATAGTCATAGCATCTTATGTATTTTGCAACTTTTAAAAAAAAGGAGTTAATTACTTACAATCGTTAATAAAAAAAAAAACTTTATGCATATAAAAGTAACTTTAATATATAACTAATATTAACAGTAATCACGTATTTTGGACCAACCAACAAAATAAATTATATTTTAATGATCTTCGCAGAATATACTGATTTTAAGAATTTTACTAATTTCAAATAAATACAATATAATATTAATAAGTATAACCTCTCTCAATGATTACAAGAATCATAGGGTCATCTCTTATTACATAATTAATATGTTATTAAATTTTAATATACATATCCAACAATTCTAAACCGCATACCTATGATTATTTAAACACATAACTTGAACAGAATAAATATACACAATTATTGGATATATTTTTGCAAGCAAATTTATCTGCAAAGTTTAAAGAATAATTAGTCTTTTATCAAAAACTACCTTAATTTTAATTATTTTAATTTAGAGCAATTAAGGATTTAATAAAACTTAGTATATATAAATACAAATGATGCTCTGGGTATTATTTGAACAATGACCTGCAATTTAGACTATAACAATTTGAAATAATATCCCTGGGTATTGGTATGTATATGATTTCATACTTATGTGTAATAATTTAATTAATAGCACTGCTTAACTAATATTAAGGGCTAATTAATTTAATTAAATTAATATTAACTAATATTATTAAATGAATACCATTTAAAAATGCTAATTTTTTACAAATCTTGCTTAAAACTGGTTGACAATTACTACTACTACAGGACCGATTAACATCCCTATATATCAATATTTTAAGTGATTAATAACACTTCAAACAAGTCTTAAAAAAAACTTCAATTAAAACAGTTATACAATTTTAAAAATTTCTGAAGAGAGTTTTACTTATAGTAGGCAAGCTTTAACAAATATCACATAATCCAATAAAACTGTATTAGATATTTAATTCATGCTGTTCATAAAGTCAGTAATCGCAAATATTGAACTCAAGCTAATTTTTGTATTATGCAAAATGAAGTAGCTAATGTCATGAATCTCTAAAAATGAAGAATGTTAGTAGTATATATAATGTTAATATTGTTATCAAAAAAGAATTAGATTTTAAAAAAAGTGAATATAAAGCATTTTAAAAAATTTAGCAGATATTGGGAATTTTAGCAGCATATACAATATAATGTTGAAAAAAGAGTTGGTGTTGAAAAGGATGAACATGATATATTTATTATTATAAAAAAAAATATAGTAATGACATGAAATATTAGTAGCACATATACTGTTGGATATTGTTATTTAAAAGGAATTGAATATGATTCATATATTGCTTCAACAATCTCATATATAATAGTTAATGAAATATGAGCATGACCAATATGAATTACCATATCTGTCTGAAGGTTAAGAAATTTCAATTCAAACATTTTATTATGTCTTGCTGTTCTAAATTTATAATAGGTGGTAGTTTTCTGACAAGAAAGAAACTAAATCAATTAGAATAAGGATATAAAAAGAAGTATTATTTTAAGAATGTAAATACTTGATAGTTATCAGTACGTTATGAAAGACACTAGATAGTCATTTCCATATTTTCTTTTTTTAATAAAATTCTTTCGATAATAAATGATGTTTTAGATTTGTTCTTTTTAACTCCAATATTATAAATACTATTAGAGTTCTCTCTTTTCTTAAATGCCTTATGTTTGTTTTTTCATCTTCAATTTCTTTTCAATAATATTATATGTGCTACTAGCATTTTTCATTTTTTTTGATAATAAATGAACATCTTAGGTTTATCCTTTTCAACTCTAATTTCTTTCTAACATTATATATATATCATTATCTTTGTTAATTCTTTTTTAAATACCTTATATTCATCTTTTTCAACTTCAATTCCTTTCAATAACAATATTCAATATATTTAACTATAGCTGTTAGGAGAAATCTTTCTACATAATAACGAAGTTGAAACCTCTGGCCAAAAACAAAACTCCAAATTCATCTGATGAAAGATGAAACCCTAGATTTTTCACAAAAAAAAATAAATAAAATAAATAAATAAAAGAAAAAAGTAAATATTGTTAATCTGGTAAAGAAACTTATAGAAAAAAGCTTATAAATTAACTAATATCAAATAATTAATTAGTCTTATATATGTAAAGAATAGATA